CAGAAAGCAGAAGCTAAAATGGCCCTGGGGTCATCATCCATCGCACACGAAGAAGTCAGAGTGGAAAGACACAGAGCTGGGGTCAAACCCAGCGCTTCCAGAAGCAGGGGAAGGGAGGGATGACGGTTTCAAGTGGAAGCGTCAGGAAAATCCTCTCCCAGAACTTTCTGGGAGGATGGAATGCTTGGCGTCCGCCAACATGGTACCCAAGGCCTGTGCGGCTCTTGAGACCTTGCGATGTGGCCAGTACAACTGAAGAACTGGATTTACATCTTACTTAATTGTGTTGACTTAACTGTCAGCAGCCGCACAAGGCCGGTGGCCACCGCACTGGACATCAGGACTCCGGAGTCCAGGTTGTCTCTTCCCAGTATTTCCTTCCAGGCTTCCTCAGGGAGAAGGGACCAATCTGTGTTCCTCTGTGAGTTGCTCTCCCAAAGTGGCTAATTTTAACAGAGAGGCAGCCTCAGACTTGGAGCTAAGGTGGAATTTTTGTTTCTTTTTTAAAAGTGAATTGTACATGCAATAAAATTAACTAATTTTAAGGCTATACTAGGGCAAGCCGGGCACAATGGCACATGCTTGTAAACCCAGCAACTCAGGAGGCTGAGGCAGGAGGATGGCAAGTTCAAGGCCAGCCTCGGCAACTTATCTCAGAACCTAGACAACTTAGCGAGACCCTGTCTCAAAATAAAAATTTAAAAGGGCTGGGGATACAACTCAGGGGCAAAGCTTCCCTGGGTTCAATCTCTGGTACAAAAATAAAAAAACACACTAGGATGATTTTTGAAAAACTTATAATCTCTTACCACCATCATAACAAGAACCAATATCCATGACCCCCCCAAACTTTCCTTGCACCCCTTGACAATTCCCCCTCCTTCCTACCCTGCTGGTCACTCATCTGTTTTCTTTCTCTGGAGTTTTGCATTTTCTAGACACGACTCATTTCCATTCCATTGTATTTTCTAACCGTGGCAGGTGATATTCACTTTCCATCTACAGAGCTATAAAACTTTTTTTTCGATTATGTTTTTTGAGGAAAGGAAAATAAATTCACTTAAAGAACCTTAAGCCACCCATAGAACAGGGGATCCTGACTATGGCGACAAGGACCCTGGTGGAGAGAAGCGGGGCACCTTTGGGAACCAAGGTTCAGATAGGGTGGGGGGCTGGGGGGGGCGGTGTAGAGCCCTTGCCCGGCACGTGCCAGCACAGAAGGAAGGGGGGCGGGGAGAGAGGGGGGAGAGGGAGGGAGGGAGGAAAAGAAAGAGGGAAGGGACGGGAAGGGGGAGGTGGCCTGGCGTGGAGCAGGTGGCCCAGCGGGAGCGGGCAGATGGCGGGGAGTGGAAAGCTGGGCTGGGGCCGCGCCCGGGGCGGGGCGGGGGCTTTCCCCTCCTCCACCTCCAGCCTGCGGGGCGAGAGAGGTCAGAGGTCAAAGGTCGGGCCTGACAGATGGGATTCTGCGCGGCGAGGCCTGGGTGCGAGGGGACCTCTGCTGAAAGGAAGTAACCTGTCCGCGCGGCCCCTCCTCGCCCCAGATGGCAGGTCCAGCCCGAGGGGCGTGGGTGGCCCCTGGGTGAGGTCGTGGCCCGGGTCTTTGTGGGAGGGAAACCCCAGGCCCCCCTCTCCCGGCGCTGGCGCGGCCCTTTCAGCTTTCAACTTGAACCCTCGGCTGCCATGCGAATCAGATGCAAATGAGATGCAAATGAGATGCAAAAGCGCCCAACCGCCTGCCTCCCGCGCTCTCGCCCCGGGGCCCCCGGGTCCGCCGAGTCCCCAGCACCCGGCAGGGGCTGGTCCGCTCACCCGTCCCTCCCCGCCCTGTCCCTGTGCGTCCTCCGCAGCGCAGTGGCCTCTTGCCCACCCCACCCGTCCTCTTCCCTGGGAACCTTCCCCTGGCCTCTGGGTCAGGACAGCCCTCAGTCGTGTCCCAGCCCTGCAGGGACCGGGCCACACCCCTGCCCAACTCCGCAGGGTCCCAACGGCTTCACCTTTGTCTTGCTGCCTGTCTGCCTTCCTCGTCCCAGGGTGCGCTCCAGGGAGGGAGGCTCTGCACACAGTAGGTGCTCAAGGAACACTTGTGAAGGAAGGAAGAAGGGAGGACCAAATGCCCATCGCGAGACCCCTGCGGATGCGGACCTGGGAGTGGGGATGTGGTAGTCTGGGTTATGGCCCAACTACGTGCCTGGCACTGCTGGGGTGAGGATGTGGCAGTGAACAAGACAGGCCGGAGGGGGCGAGGGCTGGAAACAGAGAAGCCCAGGGGATTACAGGTGATCCCAGGTAGCTCCAGGCCCAGGAGAGGGGCCCCTGGTCCACTCCAGCTTCAGGCAGGCTTCCAGGAGGAGGTGACATCTGGGCAGAGGCTGAAGAGTGAGCAGAAGGTGTCCCGCAGAGCACAGAGGTGAGAGGAGGAGGTCTGGAGCTGGACGGAGGTCACCAGGGTCCTGGGGACCCCATGGGAGTGGGGGTGGGGGAGGGGTGGGGCCCTATCCCGGGGTCATTGTGACTCCTCTACATCCCTTTCAAACCCCATGACATCAGCAAGAGAGCCACCTTCATCCTGCTCTGCCTTACACAAGTCCCCACCCACATCCTTACGGCAAACAGAGAAGGTCCCCGGTCTGGGCTCACAGCTCCACCTGACCTGGGGGCTGAGCGGGCACAGCACCATGTCCATCTCCAGGGCTGCACTGTGTCCGTCTCCAGGGCTGCTCCCTCTGTGACGAGATCTTGCTCTCCCTTTAGAGCGTCAGACTTCCTGTTACACTGAGTCCTTTGTCCACCCAAGGACACACTTTATGGGCCATGGGAAATCAGTGGCCGACTGATTATTGGATATCAGAGAAGTGTTACTATCAGGCAGTGAAACTACGGCCCCGTGTATTTCAAGGAAATGGTCTCATTTTTTTTTTATAGATAGCTCTGTGTCCTCTCTATCAGGGCCACGCAGGGTCCCCAGCTTGGGGGTCAGGGTGGAGGCATCCTGACCTATTGCTCAAGCCCAAACCTCCGTCACTCTCAATTCGTCCTTCCCCCTTGCCCCACATCCAGTCAGTTGCCCCTCCCCGATGTCATTCATTCAGCCAACAAACACTTATTGAGCCCCTTCTGTATGCCAGGCATGGACTAGGCACCAGACCTCAGCTGCAAATGAAACAGACACAATCTCCACTTGTGGAGCCAACGCTAATGGGCAGACAGACCCCAGATAAGATTTATAAATGAACATATAACAACAAACCAGGACACCACGGGAACAGGGCAGAGGTGCAGAGCAGCCTGAGCTGGGGTGGATTGAGGCATGAGGTTATTTTAATGAAGGAGTCACTTATGGGACAGAGCAGAGACCTGAATAAGGTGAGGAAGGAACCATGTAGTTACCTGGGGAGAGTGGACTAGCAAGTGCAAGGGCCCTGAGGCAGCCAGACACCAGACTGGCTGCGGTGGAGCTGGCTGGGGAGAGGGAAGAGAAGCAGGTAGGTGCCCCTGGGCAGGGGTTACTGAGCAGCTCCGGGGAGATCTGAGCAGGGAATGGGCAGGTTGACAGCGTCTTTTTGGCTGAGAATGGGGCAAAGGGGAGAAGGACAGAAGTAAGATAGCAAATGAAGTGATCATGGCAATAGTCCAGGCGAGGCGTGGGAGAGGTGGACTTGGCCATGCCCACGACAGGGTGAGCGGCAGCCTTCTGGGCCCCGGGGATCTGCAAAAGGGTCAGAGTGGAATTCCAAGGGATGACTGGCAGCTCCGTTTGGGGGGACCATGTCCTCTGTATCCTCGGTGCATGGAATATAGTTAATTTCAACAAATAATTATGGGAAGAACATTTTTTAAAGGGAGGAGGAGGGCGCCCTTTTGTTTTAGGGGCGAACTTTTCTGAAACCCATCAGACATCTCCATCTTGTGGCGAATTCCTGGAACTGCACGCCCTCGGGTTCTGGGCCTCCGCTGAGCTCTTCCGCCACCGACAATCACCCACCCTCACTGGCTTTGCCCTTGAGGACAGGAAGGTCGGCCTGGGGTTGAGGTCTGGCCTCCATCTCCACTCCACCGCCGCCGCTGCACCTCCAGACCTCTCGCTGCGGTCTTCCACCGCGGCCTGAGGCTCCCCAGCGACATTCCAGGTCTCCCCACTCCAAGGCCCACAGACGACCTCACCTAGTGCCAGCCCCACTCGGCCCCAGCAGATGATGATGACATTTCCTGGGCTGGAACCTGCACCATCCCACACTGCTGGATTCCAGCCTGAGGGCGGGCGGCGTGCTCTGTCTGCCAGCACAGACACACACACCTGGAATCTGCTCCCTCCCCATTCCGTTCTTCCAGCTTGGTTTCAAGGACATGCTTCCCGCGCCTTCCCGCCTTCCGAGCCCTGACCTGCTACAGGTGTCCTGTTCACACAGGAAAGGAGGCCCAGGTCTGGACAGAACAGGGCAAGGGGGCGGTCCCCTCCCTTAATCTGCATGTAAGATCTTTATTGGTACAAGACAAAATAACATTTTATGTTTCTTTTGTTTCTCTTTCTCCATTTTTTTTTCTTTTTAAAGTAATTTTTGATTTAAGGTTACACACCTAACAGGTGTCCAGACTCCTAGATGATTAAAATACTTCAGTTAAGGCTAAATTTCCTTTTGATCACTCTCCATTTCCCCTCCGTGTCCCCTGTCCTGCTACACACACACACACACACACACACACACACACACACCTTAAAAATGTGTAGAACGCATTCGTGTCCCCCCGCCCCCCCCCCAACAAATGAACTGTATGCACATATTTATCCTCGAATTTCTCCCACTCTGTTCTGGGCTCTCGAGCTCAAGTTTAATTTTTTTCCTTTTCAATAATTATTTGTTGGCATTAACTCTGTTCAGAGCTTGCTCGGATGTAAGATCAGGTTGTCTGGGGGGGTCTGTGTCGCGCTGCAAGTCCCTAAACCCCTGTAACCATCCCCCCCCCCATCACTTTTTCACCCTCCGCCCTATTTTCCACTTTCCGCCTTTCTCTCAACCTGGCCGTAGGCCCACACGACGCCCTTAGGGGAAGGTTCCAAGTCCCCGAGCCTTACAAGGTCCCCCGGGGCCGATCGCGGGCCCCACGTGCGCTCGGGACTCAGCGCCGCCTGGCGGCGTCTCTGGGTGACTCCAGCCGCGCCCGGTCCCTGAGGCTCACACGGGCCAGGAGGAGCCGCGGTGGCCGGAAGGGTCCCGAGCTGGCGGGGCATCTCTGCTCCAGCTTCGGTCCCGGGCAGGGTGCGGGCCTCCACGTTTGCGGGGGCCGGGGCCGCGCCCTGGGGTGGACGGAACCCGCGGTGCGCGTCGGAGCGTCCCCTCCGGAGGGCGGCGGGGGCCTCGCCCCAGTTCCCCGCGGGGTGTGGGTGCCACGGTCTCTGCGCAAGAGCCAGACGACAGACCGGCTCCTCGTCCAGGGCACCTGGCGTCAACACCCCGGGGCTGTAGGAAGGGGCCGGCCACAGCTGACCAGCGGCGGGCCTCAGGGAGCACTGGGGACAGCCCCCGCTCCTGGTCCTCCTGCAGGGGACTTTCTCTCCCTCCCGGTGGCTGTTCTGACTCCTCCCACTAAGCAAGTGACTCATTTCGTGTTTAGTTGTCATCTCCTAGAGCTGGCACTTAATCCGTAGTCGGTGAGTGACTTCCACTGAATGAAGGTCTCCGTGTGCGGGACACAGAAAGAGGAGGGGACACCAGGTGGAACGTGACCAGTGGGTAGTGCCCCCCACCAGACGGAGACAAGGGGCTGGGATGTTTCTCTGTTAAAAATCACTCAGCGGGGACGGCACTGCGCAGGCCTGTAATCCCAGCTACTGGGGAGGCTGAGGCAGGAGGACCCCAAGTTTGAGGCCAGTCAATAAAATTTTAAAAGGGCTGGGTATTAAGCCCAATGGTAGAGCCCTCTGGGTTCTGTCCCCGAACCACACAGAGGAACAAAGCCGACCTACCCGCGGGGTGGAGGGAGCGCGAGGCACCGGCTTCCCTAGGAGGCCCTAGGCCCGGGCCAAGGCCCAGCACCGCAGGGGGCGGGGAGCTGGGTGGGCTGGGAGGTGGCTCCCTTGGAAGAGGGCTGTCCTCAGCATGCACAGTTCTGGGTTCAGTCCTCAGCACCACGTGTTAAGTAAATGTGTCTAAAAGGATAAAAAGAAAGAAACTTCTCAGAAAATAGTCTATTGAATAAACAACAGAGGTTATAAAATTTCCGGAGAGCACAGGAATGGGGAGAATATATTGGTTGGGTCCTGTGTGGTGGCACATGGCTCAGCGGCTCAGGAGGCTGAGGCAGAAGGATGGTGAGTTTGAAGCCAACCTCAGCAACTCAGTGGGATCATGTCTCTAAATAAAATACAGAAAAAAAGGGGGGGGGATGTGGCACTCCTGGGATCAATCCCTGGTACAGAGAGAGAGAAAAGGAGAATATATTGGTTGAGGTTCATTCATGAATGCAACACATATTAAGCTCCCAATGTATGCAGGGTATTAACGATAACAGGAAGATTTCTTTGGAGGAGGGGCATTTGAGACTGGCTTGAAATTTGGATCAGATCCTGCCAGAAAGAGATGAGGCAGAAGGAGATTTTACTGGGAGAATAAGTCTGGAGAATCTGGTGGCCCCGAGCTACGGTGGATACTTAGAGAGTGGCAAGTGGCTCTGAGTGTGAGTAGCAAAGGTGACAAACAGGAAAGAGGGACAGAGTTGTCAAGGTTTGCTGGTCTTGGTTGCAAAAGGACTTAAATGTGAGGCTTAGTCCTTTTCCTGAGTTTGGTGAGCAACAGGGAGTATCTGAAGGTGATGATAAGGATGTGCTTTTTAAAAATATATTTTTTTAGTTGTAGATGAACACAATATCTTTCTTTATTTTTATGTGGTGCTGAGGATCGAACCCAGCGAGGCGGGTGCTCTACCCCTGAGCTACAGCCCCAGCAGGATGTACTTTTTAATTAAAAATAAAAATAACATGAGAGGCAACTGTGAGAAGATGGCTGGAGGTGAGACTGCAGCAGCAGGGATAGGGGTCAGATCTAAGGGAACTTCCTTTTGGAGTTGGGAGGGGAGCATCAGCTAGGAAGGGGGGTTGGGGCCAGGAGTAGCCTCACTCTTGGAGTCCTTGCGGAGGACAAGCCTTCCTGGCTCCCCGAGGAGCAGAGCCTTGTAGTTCTTAACTTCTGAGCCTCAGTTTCTCCAACTGTAAAGCAGAGAGTAAAAAGGGCACCTGCGCTTACGATCGCGGAAAGATCTAAGCACATATTAACTCTTACTGTCGCCAGGGGCGCTCGGCGAGCAGGGAGACGAGCTGTGTGACTCCAAAGACTCCGGACTTCTCTGGGCCTCGGTTTCCTCATCTGAACCCCAGGAGGAAGGAGGGGGGAGGAGCACGCCGGCTGCCATGCTCGCCCTGCCCCCGAGGGGGCGCCCTCCCCGCCGACAGCCCAGTGGCCCTTAAGGTCCAGGACTTCCACCGCCCGCGCCGGGGACCTGGATCCTGGTGAGGGAAGTCCTGGCGCCCCGGGGTGGAGAGGCAGCTGCCTGGGCAAGTCCCCTGCCCGCTGGGGAGGAGCCGGCAGAAAGGCGGCTGCAGGAAGCGCTCGATCCAGCAGGCCCCTCGCTGAGATCCCGCGGTCTGTCGCCGAGCTCCCTGCTCCGCGGCCCCGCCCACCCCGCCCTCCCCGCGCGGCCGGGGCGGGGACAGGTGCCGGGCCCCGAGCCTCGCGGCCCGCCCATCAGAGCCGGGCCGCTGGACCAGCCGGTGAGTGGGCCGCGCTGGGCGCCGCGGGAAGAGCCGCCGATCCTGGGCGCGGCCGCCGTCGGGAGCGCGGGGCGCCGGGCGGGGGGCGCTAGTGCGAGGACGGCGCGACCGTGACCTTTGTCCTAGTTCCGGGCTGCCGGGTCGGAGGAGGCAGAAGAATGGGCGGGAAGAAGGGCTCCTGCCCGGCCGCGGGGCGCGTGGTGCTGGGCGGGACGGGCGCGCAGACCCGCCCGTGGCCACCCAGCCCCGCTCCGCGCCACCGGCCACCGTGCGGCCGCCCCTGCCAGGTGGGAGCTGGAGCCTCACCAGCCTGGCCCGGACGGGGGTTGGGATGGGGACGCAGGGGAGGGGAGTCTCCTGGGGGAGGCTTCCCCGTCAAGGACAGCCTCGGGGGAGGCCGGAGTCCCTTCCTGGCCCTGGGGGGAGTGAAAGGAGGAAGGGAACTCCCAGTCCTGCTGGGAGCCCGCATTGTCTCCTCCCTGCTGGCCGCTGAGCCTGGCGAGCCCTGGCCTCCCCAGACCCTTTCACGGGAGACCCGAGGCCCAGAGAGGGTGAGCAGCTGGCCTGAGGTCACCCAGCCAGTGAAAATGGACCTGAATGACTGCCACCACCTGGGGTCAGGGTGGGCAGCGTGCAGAGCAATCACTGGCTCTTCTTGGGGCCTTGGTTTCCCCACTTTTTGCAAGGGACATTGAGTTGGAATGAACTTAGGGAAACTCTGGGGTCGGGGGCAAGCACAGGTGAAGACCTCCTAATGTGCGTGGATGTGAGCTGCACGCTCAGGCTCCCGGCAGGTCCAGCTCCTCCTCTGCCTCGTCCCCTCCTGGCCTCTGCTCCTTTTCCCTTCTGTCTGTCCCTCTGTCTGTCTGCCCATTTCTGCTTCTGGCTTTTTGTGGTCAGTCTCCACCGCGCTCACCCCCGTCTCTCCCTCTAGGTTTTCTGAGTTGGACCCTCGGGGCTCCCGTCCTGCCTACTCCAAGCCCACCCGGTCCTACTTAGTCTCACTCGGGTTGGCCAAGGCCAGGCCCTGTGCAGAGCCTGCCGCGCGCCCCGAGTTCTCCAGGAGCCTGGCACCGGGGACACCACTGACTCAGAGGCTTGTCTCCTCGGACCAGCGAGCACTGGCCGGGCCAGCGTGGCCAGAGTATCCCCAGGGCCGAGGCAGGTCTGCAGTCCAGCCTACAGGGCATGGTGCCCGCCAGCTGCCCCATTGCCCACGCGGAATGAGGACCCAGGGTGGCACCAGGGGTTTGGGTGACCCAGTCACGGGCAAGGCAGGGGCCGCCCAAGCACTGGGGAGGAGGACAGCCCCCCTCTCCTGGAGAGAATGCTTCCTTCCCAGCCCGCAGCAGGTGGACGCCAACTCGTGTCCCTGGGCTCCTGCCTGATAAGGCCAGGAAGAGGTGAATCAGGACAGTGACCAGGGGACGGCCCTTGGGCTCCGATGGCCAAGACCAGGCGGGTGGGGAAGGAGATGGGGCAGCCCCCAGTGGGGGTGCTTAGCCCTGGGGAGAGCCCTGCCCCCCCCCATTTTCTCCAGCCTGGGACTCTCAAGTTCAAGGACAGACAGAGCAGGGGGGCTGAGAAGGTGGCTCCGTCTTGCGGTGCTTGTGGGCACGCGCCAGGCCCTGGGTTCAGTCCCCCCACAGGAAAAATATAGATAGTGCCACAGGCCCGTTGGCCTGGGCTGCCCCTCGGGCTTCCGTTGCCACCCAGGCTGGAGGGCCGTCTGGAGAGTCTGTGTCACCATCCTCAGAGCTTGCCCACTGGATCCTGGGGACCTGGCAATGTCTTGGGGCTTTCTCCGGCTCTCCTGGGCCTGTCCTCCTTTCTCCCCTCCCCAACCCAAGTGCTAAGGAGGCTGCAGAGGGTAGAAACCCGCACTCAGCCTGGCCCCATCTCTTCCCACCTGCACCCCCAGGCCTCTCTCAACCCCGTGAGGAGGCTGCTCCGAAGGCCCAAAAGCTGTCAGCTGTGCATCCTCAGGGAAATTACTCTCCCTTCCTGAGCCTGAGTTTCCTCCGCTGGGGCCCGCAGACCATCCTGCTGCCCACCTCGAGCCGTGGTGGATGAGCACCCCGACACAGTACACAGCCAGCACCCGCCAGCCTGGGCTATTTGATTCTCTTTTTTACCTGGATGATTTCAGCAGCTTTCTATCAGGGTGACAGGCTTCTCCCCCGCTGTGCCCCTGGCTCTTTGTGATTATCCTGACCACAGCCAGCGTGTTAAACATTAAATGAGAGCCGGTCCTCCTCTGCCCTGGAATGGGGCTGTGGGCTCCAGAGAGAACACTGAAGCTCTCACCCCAAGCCCTGGGTGCCCCCCTGATCCTGCTTGGTGGCAGCCACAATGGCCACCCACCCAGCTGATCTTTAAATGCCCAAATCTATTTCTGGGTCGTGGCAGGTGAGGCCCCACCCCAGGGCCTTTGCACTTGCCCTCTCCACCCTGGACCCTCAGGGGCACCCTGCCAGCTGTTCTTCCCTGTGGCTCCTGCCCTGCTGACCGGCTCTCTATTTGTTTTTGTGCTTAATGACTGGCTCTTGGGTACTCCTGAGAGTATGGCTGTTGTCCAGCACATCGTGCACAACCAATAAATTCTCTGTTAAGTAAATCAGCAAGAACTTCGGCCACTTGAAAATAGATGTTTTTTTTTCTTTTTCTGTGTGTGGGGGGGGATGGAACCCAGGCAGCTGCGCTCAGCTCCACCACTGAGCCCCAGCCCCAGCCCCAGGTTCCTCTTTCAAAGTGCCAGCCATTCGGAGCCAGGCCTGCGGGAGCCGGACCCTTCTGCCTGGGACAGCCCCTCGCTGTAAGTGGCAGCTGTCCCTCCCTGTGTCCCCCAGGCCCAGGGGCACATAGCACCTTGGAGGAGCAGGAGGTAGCTTGGGAGTGCGCCAGGGCAGGGGACAGGAGGCGCGCAGGCGGCCACCACCTCTGTGGCAGACTAGGGAGTCTCCTGGAGGAGCCAATGGCTCCCTCAGAGGCCACCGCTGTGCGATGCCAGGTCAGAACCCAGACGTAGGGGGCGGGGCTGCAGGCCGGGACCTGAGCGTCTAGGTGAGTCCAGGCTCCTCCCGCAGCTGCGCAGAAGCGACCCAGGGCTGCCGAGTGTGACGGCCCCGGCTGAGCCGCCACCCACCTGGCCGCCACCGCCGTCTGCCGCCGCCCTGTAATTATTTACTGACCCTCGGTCGCGTGTATCATTTATTGCCTCCTCTGCCCTTCCGGCTTTGGTCCCTTCTGCTGTCACCGCTGGAGTAGTCTCGTCAGCCTCGCCACCCTCCTGTGGCTCCATCGCACCCCCCGGCAGGGCTGAGGTCACTTGGAGAAGTGCTCTTCAGAACAGAGAGGGATCGTAGCAATGACAGTCGGTGTCACCCAGAAATGACTCTTGAGTGCCAACTTAAACTTCTGCCACCAGGTTCCACACGGGGCTCCTTGTTCTTCCCCCAGCCCCCCCCCTTCTCTCTATTTTTGCATTTCTCTGTAAGACTTTGTCCCTGAGGTCCAAGTTTACTCGGAACCTTGCAGCGTCTTTTAAAGGTGTGTCTCAGTGACGACGTTCGTTAGGTTTTGATTTTTGATCAAATTCAGATTTCGAGAGGACCTGCGTTCCCGCATCAGGACACGGGTGGCCCCAAGGGGTCAATGTACTTATCAGCCTGTGGTTACCAAAATCAGCCATGTACCTCCTTGAACCTGTGTCTCGGTACACGTAGCCAGTGTTTTGCTGTAGGTAAAATAAGTGGCAGGCAAGACAGAAGTTTAAGAGCTTCAACTTTTAAAGAAGCAAACAAAATAGCTCAGCAAAGGCACAGCAGGGCTGTGAAGGACGTTCCCGACTCCAAAAATCCCAAGGGAGTCCAGTTTCTGTCTAGCCTCCTCTCCATCCTTCCTAGTACAAAACGGCTGCTAGAGTTCTAGTCCTCACCTCTGGGCTCCAGACAGCAAGATGGGGGAAGAGAAGAAGGGCGTGCGCCTGAGCAGGGATTGCAGTTCCTCTGGAGGTCAGTGGGGGAGCCTAGGTTCAAGAAGGCAAGTAGGATTATTATTGCCACCTGGGCATAAAGACCTGTGTAGACAGGCCTTCCAAAATAATCCTGATAAACCAGAAGCCCTGAATTTTGAATGCCCGCCCCTGACTTGTGGATGACAGTGGAGGATCCTCTCAAACTCAGCGGATCCAAATCACGGGTCTGCTGACTGGCTCGGCCAGCCAGTTCCCGGTTTGCCCACCCTGAGCTCGGTCACGGGGCAGGGTCCTCCACCTTCAACCTGCCAGGTCACAAAACAGCCCCTTGCCTCCTGGAGCGTCCGACTCTGGGCATCTGTCTGTGTCCACCAGAGCAAGACCATCAACACAGACGCCGCAGGGCTCCGGGAGGACCCCGGGAGGCTGGGCAGCCAGATGGGCTTTTCTGGGGCAGGATCTTGCAGGAAGCCAGGATGACAGAAGGTGGCCAGGCTGGGAAGGACAGCAGGGATGCACAGGGGTAGCCTGGGGCCTCCCTCTCTCCTGGGTCCACTTGGCAGACAGGTGCCAGGCCCAGCCTGTGCTTCTGAGCCTGCTTCCTGCCTGGGAGAACACAGCTTAGTGACCTGTGGGGGGCCCGAGGCCCCCAGAAGGGAGGCCATGGAGCAGGCTGGAAGCAGCTCTGGTAGCCTCTGGGCCTCTGGGACCCAGGAGAGGGACTGCCAGAGCCTTGGAGGTTCCTGGGTGAGGCGTGGTCACCGGGACAGGGCTGCTGGTCCTACAAGGAAGGAGGAGTTCAGGCTGAGCTTGCTCCAGATCCCATGTCCCAGCTCAGAGCTGGGAACGTTATCCTGTTTTACTTTTAAGTATCACAGGCTAAATTTCATGTAAATTCAAAGAAAACAACTCTTGTCACCAAACCTGGGATTTCTCAGCAGCAGTAGCTACCCTTAGCGCATGCCCAAAGTGTGCCAGGCACGAACTCACTGATGTGTCTGCATCTCATTGAAAATCACAAGAGGGCAGGTGAGGGCAATGAGGCACAGAGAGGCAGAGTCACCTACCTAAGGTCACCCAGCCAGGAAGTAACAGGAGCTGAGGTCAAGTCCAGGCAGTGGCTGCAGAACCTCATTCCTGAGCTCTCTAATATTTGGGCTCAGACTAAGGTTAGATTGAAGGGTGTTCGTAAGAGTTCCAGTGGGGTGATGCTGGTGGTTGGACAGGTGGTACACAGATGGCAGCACACGGCTGCTGGGGGCTGGCAGAGGTGATCTCCAAACCCTGTCCAGCTACAGAGACCTGTTATTTCAGGAGGGAAAAAAAGCCAGATTCAAATTTTATTCCAGGTAACCATATTTTTTGTGTTGGGTAATATGTTTGACTAGCTCACAAGTTAAAGCCACATAAAGATAGCTAGGCAAGGTGGCGCACGTCCGTCATCCCAGCGGCTCGGGAGGCTGAGGCAGGAGGATCACAAGTTCAAAGCCAGCCTCAGCAACTTGGTGAGGCCCTCAGCAACTTAGCAAGACCCTGTCTCTAAATAATATATATATATGTATATATATAAAAGGGCTGGGGATGTGGCTCAGGGTTAAGTGTCCCTGAGTTCAATGCCCAGTACAAAAAACAAGAATGACACTAAAAGATCTGGACTGAGGGACCCCAGGTGTCAGGTTGCTTCAGGCAAATACAGCGTGGACCACGTCCTTCCTCCTCCGCTATCTGCGGTTTTGCCCCCTGGATTCGCTCCCTTTGAGACCTCTGCCTGTCGCTGGGGAGACCTCCCCCTTCCCCGTCCTCAGCCTGCCCAGGTGGGCTGTCCCTGCAGGTCACTGAGCCTCCCCTGGCCTCTGCCACTGTCTCCCACCTTTTGCTGTTGCAAGGGGGCAGCGAACGCTGACCTTGTCCATCAGTCATTTCACTCAGCGCAGGTGACCTTTGGCTGTGGGACAGTCTCCTGGTGAGAAATGGCACCTTGCATTCATTTTCCAGATTAAAGAGAGTGGTCATCTTTCCTGCGTCCCAGACTTCTTGGTACCTTTCCTCCAAGCCGTTAGATCCTACCCTTGGCCCCCTCCTTTCTTGGGTCTTTTGTTCTTGAGGGTAATACCGCTTTTTAGGAATTAGAAACATAAGCCTATGTACTTTGTACTATGTTGCCCACGTCCTTGTTTTGGTAGGGGGAGGTGTTGGGGTTTTGTTGTTTGAGACAGTGCCTTGCTAACTTGCGGAGGCTGGCCTTGATCCTGAGATCCTCCTGCCTCGGCCTCCTGAGCCACTGGAATTACAGGTGTTCGCCACCACTCCCAACCACCCTTGGACTTTTCTCAGGTTTGTTGTTGTTGTTGTTGTTGTTTGCATGTGTGTGCTTGAACATTTACTCCTGTGAACGTCTCAAACTTTTCTTTTGTGGTCCCTGGATTTACAAGTTGTGCTTAAGAAAACCTTATTCAGAGGCTACTTATAAATGCATTTGTGTTTTCTGCTGATAAAAGCAAACAGGGAGAAAAGTAAGGGGCGGGGGGACCCTGAACCCCAAAGCCATCTCTTGCTTGGTGATGAACTTGACTCTGAGCTCTCTCACCTGGTGTCCTCCTCTGTTAGCCCATCACAGATGGACCTGGACACACAGTGGCCTCTGGCCCGGGACAGACCCGCCATGGCCGCCCTCACCCACCTGCTGGTCTGCGTCTTCGGCATGGGCTCCTGGGTGGCCATCAATGGGCTCTGGGTGGAGCTGCCCCTGCTGGTGACGGAGCTGCCCGAGGGCTGGTACCTGCCCTCCTACCTCACGGTGGTCATCCAGCTGGCCAACATCGGCCCCCTGCTGGTCACCCTGCTGCACCACTTCCGGCCTGGCTGCCTTCCTGAGGTGCCCGTGGTCTTCGCTGTGCTGGTTGTGGGCACCGTCGCCTGCGTCCTCTTTGCCTTCCTCTGGAACATGACCTCCTGGGTGTTGGGCGGCCAGCACAGCATCGCCTTCATCGTCCTCACCTTCCTCTTGGCCCTGGTGGACTGCACCTCCTCTGTCACCTTCCTGCCCTTCATGAGCCGGCTGCCCACCCACTACCTCACCACCTTCTTTGTGGGCGAAGGGTTCAGTGGCCTCCTGCCTGCGCTGGTGGCTCTTGCCCAGGGCTCCGGCATCACCTCCTGCGTCAATGTCACGGAGACATTGGTCTCGACCTCAAGCCCTGTGACTTCCAGGAAGACCTACGTCACTCAGGTACCCAGCAGGGCCTGGAGCCATTGCAGCCCTGAGCTTGGCCCTGAGGATACGGGAAGGAAAGATGGCTCCCCGGTGGGCTCCTTGGCAGGACCACAGGTTAAAGTGACCTGAGTCTGGTAGGCAGCAGAAAGGTCATTCGAATGATGTACACACGCACGGGAGTGTCACAAAAATATGAGATTTAAAGAAGGACCAAAGATGGGGAGCTTAGGTAGCAGCTGGAGCTACGGAGAGGAAGGGGTTGGGTGGGATGAGGTGAGAGGCGAGTTGAGGAGGGTGCCCAGAGGAGGAGTGTAGGAGGGACCCTGTCCCTGTCCCTCGTGCAGACATCTCAGGTGATGAGAGCTGTCATCTGTCTCTTCCTGGAACGGATGCCTTTACTAATGAAAATGTCCTTTTGAGATGTAAATGTCCTCTACACATCAAATCATTTTGGAACTGCTCCCCTGTCTCCAGTTTCTCAAAATAACCAGCTCAAAACAACCCGTGCCACAGAGGTCTATTTTGGGGTCGTGCATTAGTCAGCTTTCTGTCACTGTAACAAATTACCCAAGAAGAACACTTTTTTAAAAGAGGAAAGGTCGGATCTGGCTCCACAGTTCCAGAGGATTCAGTCCTCGGTTGGCTGGATCTGAGCTTGAGGGGAGGCAGAAGGTCTTGGGGGAAGAAGGCAATGGAGGGACGCTCCCAGCTCAGGGCAGCCAGAAAGCAGAGGGAGGAAGGGAGGGAGGGGGAGGTCGAGGGAGGAAGGGCTGGGGACAAAATATGGCCCCCAAGGACACACTTCCTTTAACTAGGTGGCAAGTCCTAGCCTCCACCGCCTCCCAACAGTCCCTTCAGATCAGGAAGCCATCAGTGGACAGGTCGGAGCCCGCAGGATCCAGCCATTTCCTCTGGACACTGGGGCCCTGGGGACTGAGCCTTGACGATGAGCCCTCAGGCCACATTCCAAATCCCAGCCCCAACAGGTGGCATACTCTGGTCTGTTACAGTCAGGTTTTGGGGTGGTGTGTCCTGAGCCCCAGCTCGAGCAGGACCACGCCCCTGGGGCCAGGCCCCCTGTGGATGGGGCTGATCTGAAGTCCCTAGGGTCAGATTTGGTTTTGGAATCCGCCATAGCATTTATCAGTTATTGATGATCATCATCCAGGATGATTTATATCATGATAATAATCCACTCTCTGCTCGGGGGCTCTTGGTGTCACCCGCGCTGACCCCCCGGGACGTGGCTGACCGCTCTGTTCCTCCCCAGGGAGTCCGCAGCGCTGTCGCCTGGGTCCCCGCCGGGAGGGCCGGCTCCCTGGGCCGGCTGGAGAGCCGCTACCTCCCGGCGCGCTTCTCGCCGCTGGTCTTCTTCCTCCTGCTGGCCTCCATGATGGCCGGCTGCCTCCTGGCCTTCCTCCTGCTGCAGCAGCAGGCCCGGGGCCGGCAGGGCTCCATCGAGGACCTCCTGCACTCCCAGGTCACCCTGCACTCCATCCAGCCGCGGGAAGGGAAGGACGAAGGCCCCCCAGGCCCCGTGGTCATCCGCAGGGGACAGGGGCATCGGGAGGAGAAGCCGGCCACCCACCGCCCGGCCCAGCTGGCCTTCATCTACACCCTGGTGGCCTTCGTCAACGCGCTCACCAACGGCGTCCTGCCCTCGGTGCAGACCTACTCCTGCCTGCCCTACGGGCCCGTGGCCTACCACCTGTCGGCCACCCTCAGCTCGGTGGCCAGTCCCCTCGCCTGCTTCCTCTCCATGTTCCTGGCCAGCAGGTACTGCCCAGGGCCCTGGGGGGCCGGGGAGCGTCCATCCAGAGCCCTGATCCCGAGCCCCCCACTGGGCGTAGGTCACGTCAAGGCTGCGGCTTCCGAGGCCCCCTGCCTGCTGCGCCCGGGCCTCCCTTTCCTTTGGGGTCCTGAGGACTGAAGCCCGGGGCGCCCTACCCCCGAGTGACAGCCTCGGCCCTTCCGATTTTATTCTGGGACCTTGTTCTAGTGAGCTTTTTTACTTCCGTGACCAAAAGACCTGGCAAGGACAATCAGGAGGAAAGGTCACTGGGGGCTCAGGGTTTCGGAGGTCTCCGTCCGTAGACGGCCAGCTCCACCGCTGGGGCCCGGGGCGAGGCTGAGCATCACAGCAGAGGGGTGTGGTGGAGCGAAGCAGCTCAGGACATGGCACCGGGGGCAGAGAGAGAGAGGGAGAGAGAGAGAGAGAGACGGAGAGAGAGAGAGAGGGAGGGAGGGAGGGAGAGACAGAGAGGGAGAGAGAGAGAGAGAGACAGACAGGGAGAGAGAGAGAGAGACGGAGAGAGAGAGAGAGAGAGGGAGGGAGGGAGGGAGAGAGAGACAGAGGGAGAGAGAGACAGAGAGAGGGAGAGAGAGAGAGAGAGGGAGAGAGACAGAAAGGGAGAGAGAGAGACAGAGAGAGGGAGAGAGAGACAGAGAGAGAGAGAGAGCGAGCTCCTTGCCACAGACAGTATACACACCCCAAAGGCACACTCCCAAAGACCCACCTCCTCTAGCCACACCCTACCTACCTACAGTTACCCCCAGTTAACCCATTAAAGTGACTTAATGCACTGATTAGGTTAAGGCTCTCATAACCCAATCAGTTCACCGTTGGAATTTCTTGCATCGTCCCACCTATGAGCTTTTGGGGGGCACCTCATATCTAACCAAAACAGACATGGGCTCACTAAGTAGCCCAGTCTGGCCTCGAACTGGCAATCCTCCTGCCTCAGCCTCCCGACTAGCTGGGATTATAGGTGTGTACCACCACACTCAGCGGGTTTCAATTTTTTAAAAAAATATCTTTATTTTATTCTTATGTGGTGCTGAGGATCGAACCCAGGGCTCCGCACATGCCAAGTGAGCGCGCTACCACTTGAGCCACATCCCCAGCCCCGGCAGGTTTCAATTGTTAATAACTCAAGTGGTTTTGACTCAGGGGCTTCAGATCCCCACAGGAGAAATATCCGCCTCAGGACCTTGACCTCTTAGGTCCCCCCATACTCTCCTGACCACCCCTCTGTCCTGTCTGCCTCCACTGGCCGCTCAGACCTGTTCACCTCCACCAGCCCAGGGGGAGAACGGGGACAGGAGAATTAGGAAATGGCAGGACACTGGCTTTTTCTCTGTTGGGGCTTAAAACCAGGGAGCAAGGAGAGGAGGGTTCGCGGGAGCAGGGCCGATGGCCGTGGACCCACAGGGTCTGCAAGCCCAGAGGTTAGGTTTATAGCATCTGAGAATCTTGGATGTCATGGGTGTGGATGGTGGGACCCAGGGACAAGGAGCTCGAGGGAACGACAGGTCTTTGGTTGTCGGGTCGAGGGTCTGGAGGAGGGCTGCCTGACCGCCTGCCAACCTCGGGTGTCAGGAACAGTGCGCCCGGCCAGGGAGGGCGGGGAGGTCACCCAGCACCCCTGCAGGGCCCTGCCAAGATCAAAGCCACCTTTCATCAGCCTGGCTTCCTGGCTGAGACTGAGACTGTCACCGGAGGAAATGGCAGCAGATAAATAAAATTCCAGGCAAAGCCCAGGGCTGGAGATAGGCCCTGCCCATGCTGCTCCTGTAGGTCATGGTGGCCCTGAAGTGTCCCATTTTGCAGGTGAAGACACTGAGGCTCAGGGACCAGTTAAATGGTGAGACTGGGTTTGCACAGGGTCCACCTGACACTGGAGTCTGTGATTCTTCCCTAGCCGGGAGGCTGGGCCCTGCCATTAATGCTCAGGGTGTCCCGGCTCTCAGGAGCCTCTCCGTCCCACTTGAGCTGGGGAGCCTGCAACCACCCTCCTAACCTTGAGCTCTGGAGGTGCCGGTCATTCCACATGGTCCCCAGGAGTGGAGAGGGCAAGGTCAGGCTGCTCAGCTCCCCCACTCACCTCCCCACTCTGCCCTAGGTCTCTGCCCTTCCTGGGGGTCCTCACAGTGCTGGGGACCGGCTTCGGGGCCTACAACATGGCCATGGCTGCGATGAGCCCCTGCCCGCTCCTGCAGGGCCACTGGGGTGGGGAAGTCCTCATCGTAAGTATCTGGACAGGTGAACAGCCCTCCTGCCCTCACCTCTTAGCCGGCCCGGGGAACCCCAGGGACACCCCTAGTAACCAAAGTCTTTGCCCTTGTCCTCTCCAGAAGCCCCTGGTGGGAGGGTCCCCTTCTCATTGGAAAGTGGGGCATGGGGGGAGGGGTGATGGTCCAGCCTGTGCCCCCAGTGCTACCCTCCGACCACGTGTGCACACCAGTGGCCTTGGCGCTGATGCCCCTGACCTGATGGTGGAGTGGGGAGCCGCTGGGTTCTCCTCTGCCCTCAAGGGGTCCCCTTACTGGGCATCCCTGAGCCCTGTGGGGTCACCCCCACAAGGGTGTCCTTGAACTCCCAAGCCATTCCACGGTTTCCCTTAGCTCTGTGCGGTCACCCTGTGAGACTCCTGGACCCCGGGGCTCACTGTCGCTGCCTTCCCTGCAGGTGCTCTCCTGGGTGCTGTACACGGCCATTCTCAGCTACGTCAAGGTCATGCTGGGTGTGATCCTGCGCGACCGGAGCCGCAGCGCCCTCTTGTGGTGCGGGGCGGCGGTGCAGCTGGGCTCGCTGCTCGGGGCGCTGCTCATGTTCCCGCTGGTCAACGTGCTGAGGCTCTTTTCCTCGGCTGACTTCTGCAGCCTGGACTGCTCTGCCTAGGCCGTCGCGGGTGGCAGGCCCATGGCAGGATGCCAGCCGCGCCTGACACTTGCAAACTGGGCTTCAGACAGTCAAAGGGAGCGCCCAAGGGCACAGAGCCAGGGGTGGGGAGCTGGGAGGCAGAGGCTGAGCCTTTGAACCGTGAACAGGAGGGATTGGCACAGGCCTTTGGTGAGACCTGGAGTCGCAGGCCCAGCCCTGCCTCCAGCTCTAATGCGGTGCCTGGGACCCACTAGTTCCCAACTTCTTCTCTTTGCATACTGAAAGCTCTAATTTGTACCATCCAGCTGGAGACAGGCCTAAGAATGTCATAAGGGAAACGGCTGGGAGGCGAGCTGCCCTTGCAAGCTGTGTGATCTTGGGGAAGTCACTTGACTTCTCTGTGCCTTGGTTTCCTCATCCATAAAAGGAGGATTATGAGAATAGCTCTTACCTGGCGTGCCTGGCACAGGGACGAGGCAGAAGTACCCAGCGTGTAGCAAGCTGTCCTGAGAGACTTCATGATCTGAAACGTGCAGTCATAGCAAGACTCCACCTGGAAGTAGCCAGAGGGCTTGGAAGGGGCCCGTGCCCCAATGGATTCATAGAGCAGCTTCTTCAAGACAGATGGCGGTTTACCTTTTCCCGTGTGCGCCCCACACGCCCCTTCCTGTGCCCCTCCCTGGGTGGTGGAGCCCTACCCCTTGGAGGGTAAGTGCCCTCCTGAGTGTCAGGGAGATGACTTGGTGGGACCCCACCCCCAGCCTCTGAAAGTGACCCCACCTGGCTGCAGACTGGACGGCGAGGAGCTTTAGAAGCAGCGGAAGCCCGAGGGCAACGGGCGGATGGTCATTGTGTTACTTTTTGTTTTTCTTTCCTTTTGCTTTTCTTTTTTAATAAAGACACTCCTTGATTTTACACTCAGATCAGCTTCAAAGGAGAGAAGTCCAGTGGGAACCCCCACCTAAAAAGGGGGGAGGGGTATCAATATAATCAGTTTTCAGTCAAGGCTGAGTTCAGAGAGGAACAGAATCAAGTACAGAAAAGGGCGTGGCCCTGGGATTTCTGTTCTGTACTGTTTGTCTCCTCTGCTTGCCAACACCACCACACACTCCCTCCCAATTTATTTTACATAGTGTTACTACATGTTTCAAAAATCAGAAAATAAACAGGGTTCAGTGGTGCTCACCTGTCATCCATCAGCCATTTGGGAGGCTGAGGCAGGAGGATAGCAAGTTTGAGGCCAGCCTCAGCAATTGAGTAAGGCCCTGTCTCAAAATTAAAAGGGCTGGGGATGTAGCTCAGTGGTATAGTACCCCTGGGTTCAGTCCCCAGTACCTCACTCCATTGAAAAATATGAAATGGTGAACAGGGAAAAAGCTACTGTCCCTTCCCTGCATCTGCTCAGTTCCTGTTTTACACACACGTGTGCAATTGTGCACCCAAGCCCTTTTTTTAGTTCCCTGTTTCCCCCTTTCCCAAGATTATGCAAATGTAAGAAATACAAAGAGCCCCTCTTCTTGGACCTCATTTTACAGAAAGAGCAGCAAACTAAAGAGAATCTTATACTTTGCAATCAACGCAAATGGAGAGAAACTTCCGGTCCTTCCTCGGGGCTGCGTAGTGTTATATCAGATGCTGAGGTTAAGAGACCACTCTCCTCCTACCCCAGAAAACCTCTACAAAAGTAGAAGAGAAAGAAAGCAGTTCTTTTTCCAGATGAGCTTTAAACCCGACTGCAGAGTGTCACCCAGGGAGCCCACAAGAGGGTGCAGATGCAGGAGTGGCCCCCTTTCCTATGGCCAGGTGGGTACGGCGCTCACACACATGCTCTCCAACAGTAACCAGTCCTCAAGCAAGGTGACTAGACGGCAGCATTGGTGACATCGCTCACTCTGAAATCACGTGGTCCTTGGAATGGCCCCCTGTGTCTGCTAATTTCTTTATCCAAAGGAAATATAAACTGGTATCTTTACGAGGTGGGTTTTGCAACCTGTCAGTTGGGCTGCTGCCCCCCGAGGAGGCTGGCAACAGAGTTGCTATGTTTCTTGATGTTTGTGTCCTGGAGATGGCACCCAGGTCCTTGGAAACGGTGTTTCTAGGCTGTAAACTGGCAAAGGCGTCACAGATCATAAAAGGGCTCACATACATCTAAAAGGGACAGAGGAAGAATTCACAGGTTTTCTACCATACATACCCGTCAGTCAGCGCGTCAGCCTCCACCTCGACTATGGGATGATAAAAATCTCCTTCCTGGGATCTGTAGGGAGTCATTGGACTGATAGGTGCAAAGTGCTTAGCACTGCACTACAAACAGTAAGTACTTAATACATGTCACCAGAGCTGCCACTTTGGGAGAATATCCACCCCAGTCCTCTGATGCCCCTGAGCTACACTCCTGCCCACCCTCCCTCCCAACTGAAGTCCAGCTTGGAGGCTGGCCCCAGACCAAGTGACCAGCCCAGCCACCCAGTGCCTTCACAGTGAGATCGCCAGCCAGGGCCTGCAGTCCCAGCTGCTCAGGAGGCTGAGGCAGGAGGATTCCTTGAGTTCAGGGGTTTGAGGCCAGGCTGGGCAACAGAGCGAGACCCCATCTCAATAAGTAAGTAAAACAAGAGTGAGATGGGGACTCGGGGCTCAGCCTGGGGCTGGCAGGGGGCCAGCTCCCTGAAGATGCCCCTAACCTGGTGTCTGAGGCAGGCAGGAGGAAGGGAGGTGCAGCCGTGCGGGAGGGGCCTTCAGTGTGTCAATCACACTAGCAAGAGCCTGGGGACCAGGCGGCAGGGTCAGGCAAGCCCTGAGAAGAACACAGGTGGGGACCCAGGGCAGCCCACGGGCCCGAGCCTGGGAGGCCTGGATTCTAGGAAGTGGGGCTGGGGGGCCTACATGGATTTAGGGGGGTTGACATTAAAAGGGGCTGCAAGAGACGTAAGCAGGCTCAGAAGCCGCCACAGCCTCCTGGGAAGGACCCATGGAGCAAGGTACAGAAAAAGGACAAAGTCTTCCTCTACCCAGGCCCCACTCAGACGCTGAGAGAAGATGAGATGGAGAGTTGGGGGTTCCCAGCCCTTTCCCCAGAGACCACAGCCAGAGTGGCTGACATACAGCTGGCCACTATAGCACCCTGCGGTGGAGGTCCCCAGGAGACAGTCCCCCCTGCCATTTTGCTGGGTGACACACTAGGGCTGACTTTTAGAACTGCCTGGAAGCCAGACCAGACCAGGGCCCGCCCATCGCCGGTGCCCTGGGGAGCTTGACCGGGTCAGTCCTGGATTTGGGCGAGGCCAGCCCCTGCGCAGGAATCCTGGACCCACGCCCAGGTTCGCCCTGCCCCGTCCTTCCTTGCCTGGGGTGAGCCCTGTGCTTCCAGGGCAGGCCACTCCCAGGGGCCTGTGGCTTGGCCTCTTTTTAAGGCTTTAGCCAATGGCCTGGGGCCTGCCTGTGGGTCCCAGGCCCTGGGAATGGGGGCTAGCACAGTGGTGGCCTCTGGGCTCCACGAGGGAGGGACCAAGTCTGGACTGTTCCCTCTCCCTGCTCCTGGGGCCCGGCCTCACCCTGAGAAAGTTTGACAAGGACACCCATGACCTGCTTCCCAGAGCCTGCGGGTACGTGACGCCTTACATGGCAAAAGAGACTTTGCAGGTCTAAGCAATGAGCCCCTAAACGCAGAGGATCATGAGACTCAGCAGGGAGGGGAGCAGAGGGTGCCGCAGGCACCCGGGAGATGGCGGGGTGAAGCGTGGCACGCCCACCTTTAAGGGGTCCAGGGACAAGACTGAGAGCGCCAGGAAGCCTCAGGAGGGGGATGACCCCAGAGCACGGTCCTGTGTCTGCAGCAACTGGACGCCTCCACCCCAACAGCCTGAGTGAGCGCAGAAGCAGAGGGGACCCCGAGCATGGGGGGGGGGGACACAGTCCTGACACTCCTGAGTGCAGCCTCCGAGCCCCGGCCTGACTGCTAACCCCAGAACGAGGCAATAGGACACTGGAATTTGTCTCATTTTTATTTGTTTCTTTATTGTGAACAGGGTCTGTATTATCTCTGGAGAGGGGGGCAGTAAGATAGCGTGTCCCTGAATGCCTCCATGCTGTTCCCAAACACCCACCCAGTGAAGGGAAGGACGGGAGTGGCCCGGCCAGAGGCTCCAGAGACACATGATCTTGAAGGACAAGGACTTTCTCTCTGCGCCTGGGAACTGGGGCAGGTTCGTGGTATCAGCAGAAAGCTACTTTCTTTCGCGTGGGCCAGGACTGTCGCTCCTGGGGATGCTGGTCACACAGCAGATAAGCCAGTTAATGCTGATGACGTCAATCCTGCAGCCTAGTGTAGGAAGTCCCTCTTGGCAGGGACGGAGGAGGAACTGAGGGCACCAGGGAAGGGGCACTTGTCACCTGTCCAGCCTGTCACCACGGGGCACACCTCTGGAGCAAGAGAAGGTACAATCTGACATAGCACAGTGAGGGACAGAGGTGCTACCTGTCAGCCTGTGGCCATTGAACTCTCCTTGGAGCAGTCTTTGGTCTCTTGTCAGCTTTCCCCATAAGCTGTTGTCGAAAGCTCAGTCCCTGTCCCCGATGCCAATCCAATAATGAGGACACAGTTTTGAGAAAAAGGAAAAAGAAGGTTTATTGCTTTGCTAGCAAAGGAGAAACAAGGGGACTCCTGTCCCAGAGGCTGTGATTCTGCCCATCAGCAGGAACAGGGGCTTTTAAAGAGGTGACTCCGGCGGCATTCCGTGTCTCTCTGGGGCTGTAACTCACTTGTTAGTTTGGGAGACAGTCATTTCTGCCATCCCCAAAGTCTGGGTTCCTTCATTGCTTTGAAGGGTGTGGACTCGGGGACACATAACTCTGCCTGGGATGGGGAAGACAGGTGATCCTAATTCCCTGAGGTTATAGAAGGGGAGAGATCAGGGAGGAGCAGGGAGAGAGGAGGAGAAAGAAACATGTCCATTTAAAAAATAAGCAGCAGTGGCAGAGCAGCAAGGGCTGTATTCAAAACATAAAGTGGACCCCATGACCTTTCCCCACTGTCAATCTCTACATGCCATTTCTATGGAAAAGTGGCAATGGCATCTCCCAACTGCTTCCTGCTGAAGGGAGGCAGTTGGGGGAAGTGACCCAAAGTCCTTGTTCTGTCAGGTGGGGCATGGACAGTTCAGGGCATTCAGCAGCAGAGCAGTCCAGAGGTCCACAGTGCAGATGACAGGGGGCTGGACAAAGCATACATAGGGCAGGGACCATGCTAAGACAACAATAAAGACAGCAAAGCATCACATGTTTGTAAATAATTCGCACAAAAATAATTAGTATTTAAGCCAGTTTCTGAAAACCATGAGAACAGTAATTCATAATCTTATCAGTGAAAAGCAGGTCAAGTTCATCAATGTAGGAGGTTAGGAAGATTTGTAGGTCTATGAAATTAGACTCAAATTAACTCAGGACAAATTTGCAACTCTTATGGTCATTATTACTAGGCACTCTCACGTAAGAACCCTTCCTTTATAGCCTCCAGCTTTACTTACTTTTGGTAGGGCTGACACAGTGAACCTCTTAGGTTACATAAAACAAACAAACAACAACAACAACAAAAAAAACATTGTTTTGCCTTTTAAATTTCCATGTGGGACTATGCTCAGGCTGTCTTCTCCTACTAGGTGTTTCAGAACAAGTTGGTCACATTGACCTTGTTTCTATCTACTTCTTTTTTGTGGGGGAGGTTACAGGGATTGAACTCAGGGGCACTCAACCACTGAGCCACACCCCCAGCCCTATTTTGTATTTTATTTAGAGACAGTTGCTTAGCGCCTTGTTTTTGCTGAGGTTGGCTTTGAACTCATGATCCTCCTGTCTCAGCCTCCTGAGCTGCTGGGATTACAGGTGTGCATCGCCTCGCCCAGCTTCGTATCTACTCTTAAGAGTCA